AGTTACTTCCAGATTGGAAGTCTGGAAGTAAGAATGGAAGTCCCTGTCCCTGTGGACATGGGATAGGTGGCTTGGTGCTAGCATTAGCAATGTAGTGCTCTGCTACCGCTAACACGTTAGCAATAAAGTGCTGTGACATGCTTATCCTTCAGATRAAACAAGTCAAAGAAGACTGTTCTATTTAAGAAACTTGGCATACCACACATTACCGTACCCATTTGGACACATAACTAGACTATTTTCTTTTGGCTTGGTAAAAGGCAAACAGGAAGTGACATCAAAGGGGACTCCTTTAAGAAAAATAACTCGCTGGTGTTTGTTTATTGAAACATTATGATTTGAACTCTGACTCTTTTTTGTTTCTGTCTGATAGCGACTCAAAATAATCTACAACATCAGATTCCTCTCCACAGTCTGGGCTGTTGAGCATTTTAGCTTAGCTCTGTTTTCATGCAGACATTCCCCTTTGACATCACTTCCTGTTACTTCACATGCAAATATCTCAACAACTGCTCATCTCAGCAGCATGAAAATGATCTTGTAATATGTTCTCAGTGTTATCTTTCCAAAAATGCATTTGTATTATTACAAAAATTTTGATGTCACAGGCACTTTAACTGTGGGSGTAAATGCTGTTAGCAAACCACTGGACATGTTTATTATTTGCTGTACATCTACAGTTTAATTACTTTTAGATTCAACTTAAACACGGCCAGCACACCTAACCGAATAGTCTTCATTTTTCATTAAAACTCAACTTTAGAAATATTGAGCTGAAATTAGGTGTGGGAGGAGCTGAGAGTCATTCCCAACACTTTAATCCTCTACAAATCAGTCAGGACAACACATAACATCAATCCTAAGCTGTTTTAATGATGCACCAAAACACTACAACTGTTTCCTGTCATTATAAGCTGTCACTGCAGGCTAATGTGACCCAGATCTGATTTTATTTGACAGTCTGAACGTGACAGATCTGATGTTCCCAGTCTGACCCAGGACTTTTTCAGCTGTGGTACTAAATCAGACCCGTATCTGATGGTTTTCAGAGTGACCTCAGTCTGAACGCTCGAGTCTCAGTGAGGTTAGGGGGATACAGATCCATCCAGATGTTAATATTAACAATAACAACATACTGCAGTTGAAAGCTCAGAACTCCACACACATCTTCAGATACAGATGGTTCTTAATTTGTCATGAACTGGATGAATCCACAGCAACATATGATGCTAACACTGGTGTTGGACCAGTATTGGTATCAGTATAAGGTTTTTTTCTACCTTCAGTCATTTCCTGTTACAGAAACACAAAGCTGCATCGAGGAGCTGACAAGAAGAAAGATTAAATACAGAATAAACACTGGGCCAAACAATATGTTTGATAATTAATCAGCTCTGATTGGACGACAACTTCAGCATCCACATGCTAACATGCATCTTTAAACTCAGTGTGCTGCGTGACATCACGTCTTCTTCTAGATGGGTTAGATAGATCTTTCTTGTTGCTGTTCAGTTATACTTTGTGCAGCAGCACACCAACACGGGAGCTCAGTCCTTTTCCTCAGTGCAAACATGCAACATAATTACCACATGACCTTTTGCACTAACTAAAAAGCAAAACATTATCAAAATGCAGGTCACCTCTGAGCTGTAAATGGTTCACAATGGAGTCTGATGGAGGTCATATTTAAATGAAAATGTGAACGTCCACACACAAACATCAGATCTGAGCAAAGAGTTGGAACTCAGCATGAAGACCTGCAGTGTGCACATGTCATAGTCTAAAACATGAAAGGCAGCGRGCGATAGGCATTCCTTCAATGACTGCTGGGTATTTTTGCTTTATTCAGCTAGAAGTTTGAATGAACTGTTTATTTGAAACCATCGTAATAAAATCATGTATACAGTTTATCTACTGTATGCTCTATGCACTCGTACGTACATTCACGTGAAAACATAGACGTTCTGTTATAAAAACAAACTAAACAAATACAGAAGAGTTGAGGTTTCATATGAGCTAATAAAGCCCTCTTTTACAGAAAGTGTTGTTTTATTGGCCCGGCAGTTTTAAAATTAAGCTCTTTTTTTACCTACCATTAGCTTAGCCTGGACTTTAGCCTCTTTCTTCGTGGCTGAAAAGGTACTGATAACTGTTAGAGAAAGCATCACTTCACAGTTGCTTGGACTATCCCTTTAATGGTTGTCTGGTTGTTTTAGAGCTGATTGGACCCACCGTGGTCTCTGTGAAGTCAAAGAAACTGTGTCAATGTGTCGAAGTTTCATTACATTCACATAAATAACCACAGAGCTGCTGTTCACAGTGAAGCTGTAAAACAGCTGGAGGCTGGCAACACTTTACTGCAGAGGAGCTTAAATCTTCAGACGCCGAGCTCTGTGGAGTAAAACACACCTTTATTTMATTTACTGCAGTTGTACGCTTATTAAGCCCATTAACAGAATCAGGATTTAAATGGTTCTGAACTGAAGTAATGTTAAAACATTTATGATGTTGGTATTTTTTTACAGAAACATCAGACATGCTGTAACATGTTTTTACTACCTGGTGGGGATGATTTTTGATTATTTTCCTGGTACACACAGCCTCGTGAGGACCCAGTTATCTTATGGACCCACGAGGCAAAAGCCTGGTCCCCATTGGGGTAACTACCATTGGTGGGTCAGAGGTTAGGTTTACAGTCAGGTATGTATGTACCTATGAGGTTGGGTTTAGAGTCAGGTTATGTACCTATGAGGTTAGGTTTAGGGTCAGGTATGTACCTGTGAGGTTGGGTTTAGAATCAGGAATGTTCCTGTGAGGTTAGGTTTAGGGTCAGGTATGTACCTGTGAGGTTAGGTTTAGAGTCAGGTATGTACCTGTGAGGTT